TATCTTTTTGCTCAAGGGCGGCAGTCGTATCGACGACTCTCCTTTTGAGCTGGATGGTGACGGTACTGTGGTGACAGAGTATGACTGGGCTCCTTATGCTGCCAGTTTGTTTGCCTCGGCGTACGCCTCCAGCGAGTTACTAACTTGGAGGGTCGACCGTCTTCATATCGTCCGAGACGTGGAGGACGCTAGGCTAATCCGGGTGGGGGTTAGTCTGAGGAATGAAAGAGTGTACTACAGGAAGAGGTCGAGCCCGGACGACTTCTTCTATATGTATGCTAATGTCCTTGCGCAACTCTGCGTCCGGGTGCCCTTTACCGAGTTTCAAGTGGCTGTCCTTCGGGAAGCAAACGTAGCCTCGGCACAGCTACATCCTAACTCCTAGGCAGCCGTGCAGGCATTCTTGGCAATGTGCCTAGCCGTGGGTATTCAGGAACCCTTCGCCTTGGGCTTCGACATAGAAAAAGATGTCTTCGATGGCGTCCTGGTCGACCTCAATACTTTAGTTGATGGCGAGGCGCCGGAGAGTGAGGCACCTCCAAGTGTTGCGGTAGCTGATGAAGCAGCGGAGGTCGAGGACGTGGATGATGAGGCGGAGGATGCTGATACTTAATTGCTTTTGTTTCTTAGGTTTAGGGATTTTTCTTTTTATTTTTTGATGTATTCATGAGGTCGTCTGTCCAACATCTCGAATTGTCGGGATGTTGGTCGGGTCGTCCTTTCGCCAGATCTAATGGCGTTTTTTGTGCATTCCTTTGTTAATTAATACAATTTTATTTATTCACTCGGTTGTTTAGATTTTATTTTTTTGGTTCGCTATCGATTTACTTTGATGTCTCGCTGATCGGCCAAGTCGAGAGTGGTTCCTAGGGAACTCTCTGTTCATCAACTTGTTTTTTTGAATGCTTGGACGGTAGTTGTTCTTCGGAAAGAAATCTCTGTTCACCATCCAGCCAAGTTCACAGTGATTCCCGAGGGAACTCTTCGTTCATCAACTTGGTCTTTTGAATGCTTGGACGATAGTGGTTCTTCGGAAAGAACTCTCTGTTCACCGTCCGGCTAAGTTGACAGTGATTCCCGGGGGAACTCTCCGTTCATCAACTTGGTCTTTTGAATGCTCGGACGGCAGTGGTTCTTCGGAAAGAACTCTCCGTTCACCGTCCGGCCAAGTTGACAGTGGTTCCCGGGGAACTCTCCGTTCATCAACTTGGTCTTTTGAAGGTGCCTCGCGTGCTTAGTAAGATTTAGTTGTGGGAGGAGACAAACGTCCTATCATTGTATTAATCGTCGAAAATGAATATACAATTTTTAAGAATAATTCAACTGAAATAAAATTTTAAATGTGTGGCGTTCCATGTGTTTGGAATCGGCCATCCGTCTACATGTTGCAATCTGTATGCTCCGTTTCCCAACGCTTCTATCACCCGAAAAGGTCCCTCCCATTTGGCTGCCAGTTTTCCATGAGTGTTCGCTCGGCGAGCCTCTCCAACCTTCCTCCACACTAGGTCGCCTTCCTGAAAATTTCTTGGCCAGACCTTGGAGTTGTACTTCCTTTCCACCATGTGTTTGCATGCTTCAGCTCTTAGTGTCGCTCAGTCCCTCCGTTCCTCTAGGGAATCCAGCTCAACTCGCAGCTCTTGGTCGTTTAGCTGTAAGTCCTCTACCTGACGTCGTAACGAGGGCTCCCCCAGTTCGACTGGCAACATGACGTCAGTGCCATAGGTCAGGTTGAAAGGGGTCTCTCTGGTCGTTCCATGTGGTGTGCATCGGTAAGCCCACAATACTTCTGGTAACTCGTCGACCCAAGGTCCCTTCCTTTCTCCCAATCGCCTCTTTAGCTCGGCCACCACGATTTTGTTCATGGCCTCTACCTGACCGTTCGTCTGTGGGTGCTCCACCGAACTGGTGACGTGCCTAATTCCCAAGTTTTTGAAAAACTAGGCCAATTTTTTGTTGATGAATTGCCGGTCGTTATCCGTGATGATTGTTCGGGGAAGGCCAAATCGACACACCAACTTCCAACAAAATTTTTGGACCTGGGATGCCGTTATGGTTGCCAATGGGTGAGTGTTATTGGCATGCGCTTGACAACTAAGGCACTTCTGGACGAATGTCTTCATATCCTCTTCCATGGTTGGCCAGTAGTACCCCGCTCTCAGTACCCGGGCTTTCAAAGCCCGCCATCCGGTGTGGAAATCGCAGATTCCGTTGTGGAGTTCGTGCATCACGTAGCGTGCTTCCTCTTTCCCTAGGCCCTTGAGGAGGGGGTGGAGAACCCTATTCTGTATAGGTCGTCTCCCACAAGGAGGTAGCAGACAATTCTCTTTACTTCTATCGGTTTGATGGGCCACCCGTCGTCTTGTCGGGATATTAATCCCCGGATCTCCGATCGCCAATCCCCCTTCTTCTCGCTCGACACCGCCAAGCATTCGATCGAGGGTTGCAACAGTACTTGACGGATGACTATTGTTAACTGCCCTTTTTCCTTCCCCGTGCTGAGCTTTGACAACATATTCGCCTAGGTGTTGTCTTCGCGGGGAATGTGTTGAATGTCGAGTTTGTCGAATGATTTCGCCAGCTCTGTTGCCCGATGGAAGTACTGAAGCAATTGTTCCTCCTTCACTTAGAAACTGCCATTCATCTAGCCCACGACCAGCTGGGAATCCGTTCGACATACGACCCTTCGAGCCCCCATGTCTCTTGCCAACTCTAGGCTGACGACCAGGGCTTCATATTCTGCCTGGTTGTTGGATACCTTGAACTTAAATATCAAGGAATGTTCCAATAGGAATCCGTTCGGGCCTTCCAGCACCACGCCCGCCCCACTTATCGATCTACCGGACGCCCCGTTGACGTATAGGCTCCACTCATCTTCGATTGCGTGGGGTAGTTCGACCGCAAAATCAGCCAAGTGTTGGCCTTTGATTGATCCCCTGGGTTCGTAGCGTAGGCCGAACTCTGACAATTCTATCGCCCAAGCCACCATGCGCCTCGCCAGATCTGGTTTCTTGAGGATTTTAGAGATTGGGAAATCGGTTCTAACGACCACTTGGTGGCTTTGGAAGTACGGTCGGAGCCCTCTGGATGCGTTTAAGAGAGCCAACGCCACCTTTTCCACTTGCAGATAACGAGTTTCGGCGTCCATAAGGGTACGGGTGACGAAGTATACAAGCCTTGGCTCGGGCCGCTCTTGCGTGAGCACGACGCTGATGGTCGACTCCGATACGCCCAAAAAGATCTACAAATCTTCTCCCAGCGTGGGGCGGTTCATCATTGGTGGATTCAGCAGGATGATCTTGACGTCCTGAAATGCCTACTCACATTCGTTATCCCATACGGCGCCAGACCCCTTTTTCATCTTCTACAAGACGGGTCTGACCCTTTCGGCCAACCTCGGGATGAATCGTGACAAGGTAGTGAGCCGACCGATGAGTCTTTAAATCTCCTTCAGAGTGGTCAGGCTTTGCATCTGCAATACCACCGCGCATTTGTCAGGGTTAGGTTCGATGCCCCGGGATGTAAGCATGAAACATAGGAATTTTCCAGCAGCTACTCCAAATGTGCATTTGGCCAGATTTAGCCGCATTTCGAACTTCCTGACTTGGCAGAATACCTCCTCCAAGTCTTTTATGTGACCCACCCCGTTAGTCGAACGAACGACCATGTCGTCCACGTAGACGTCCATGCACCGGCCGATCTGCTCCTTGAAAATCCTATCCATCAAGCTTTGGTAGGTGGCCCCGACATTCTTCAAACCGAAAGGCATTACTTCGTGACAGAAGTTCGCCCTCTTGGTGATGAAGGTCGTCTTCTCCCGGTCTGGCTCGTACATGGGTATTTGGTTATACCTCGAGTAGGCGTTTAGGAAGCTCAACATCCGATGATCGGAGGCACCATCCACCAAAGCGTCTATGCTTGGTAAGGGGTGTGAGTCCTTCGGGCAGGCCTTATTAAGGTCGGTGTAGTCAGTGCATATGCGCCACTTTAAGCTGGCCTTTTTTACCATCACCACATTGGCTAGCAAAGTGGTGTAGGTAACCTCCCTGAAGAAACTGACCTCTCTTAGCTTATTCACCTCGTCTTCCAATGCTTTCCTCTTCTATTCGCCCATTCGGCGTTTTTTCTATGCCACCGGGCGGGCTTCTTTAAACAGTTCAAGTTTGTGGGACATGACCAAGGGGTGAATCCCCGGCATGTCAGACGCTGTCCATGCGAACAGGTCTCGGTTCTTCCATAGGAGCGACCTAATTTCAATTTCTAGCTCGAACTCCAAGCCCCGGGCCATGGTAGTGGTTTGGGTAGGGTCCTTCCATATTAGGACGGGCTGTGTTTCTCCTATAGGTTCCAGACGGTCCTCCATGTTCATCCTTGGATCAAGGTCGGCCATGACTACTTCGGAGCCGCTCGGAAGGTGCATATAGTCCCTTTCTCCGAGGGGTATTTCATAGTAAGGTGGGGAGTGGAGACAATCGCTCCAAAAGCGTTGAGGCACGGTCGGCCAAGGAAAACGTTGTATGAGGTGTTGGCCTCTACCAGCAAATATATAACCCTCTTCTCCTCGCTAGACCGCCCGGTCCCCAACCTTGTGCGCAATTCAAGGTATCCCCGAGTGTCTACCCTTTCGCCCGCGAATCCTACTATTTGTTCGTTGTAAGGGACGATGAGGTCCTCCAATATATCCATCTGTTGGAAGGTTTTCCAGTAGAGGATGTTCATCGAACTTCCCTGATCCACCAGGACTTTACTTACACCATACCGGGCGATCTCCGCTGTTATCACCATCGGGTCGTCTAGATCAGGATCAAGGGCATGGAAGTCCTCGTCTGAAAACGTGATAGGTGGCATCGTACGCCGGGGCTTGTCCACTGAGTGAACGGACTACAGGGCCCGCACAAGACGTTTCTGGGCAGACGAGGATGACCCTCCCCGGCAAAACCTCCTGATATGGTGTTGATGTGTCCCCGCAGGGGACGATCGCGGCTTCTGCTGCGGCTTTTGCTTCATCGCTGCTTCGAGCGTGGGCGATCGATCCGATTACTTCCAGACCTTTTGTGCCTATAAGCATGCCGCGGGCTAGGTCGTTCCGCGGGTGTCGGGGGGCGATCAACTCGAACGTACTGTTTCAGTTGTCCCGCCCGGATTAGCTCTTCAATTTTGTCTTTCAAGGTCACACACTCTTCGGTAGTGTGACCCATGTTTTTGTGGTACAGACAGTGTTTGGTTCCGTCTGCGCCTGGCGGAGTAGGTCGCTTCATGGGTTCGAGGAGCAATTTCGTGCTTAGCGCTTCTCGGAGGATCTTCTCCCTAGGAGCGTTCAAGGGGGTGTACTGTTGGAAACGGGGTCCTCGACGCGGTTCCTTATGTTTGAGACTTCCCGGTTTCCCACCGAAGTGCCTGATTTTCCCCCATTCGTCCTTTCCCCCTTGTGCTCCTGACTTTCCTTTCTGTATGACAGTTTCATTTCTTCCACCCTGATTTCGTCCATCGCCCTTGATAACAATTGAAAAACTGTTATTTTCATGCTTAAAATTGATACTAAAAGCAACCTTTATACTTAGAAACTAGCTTGAAATCATGCTTTTCTTCATATTTTCAGAAATAAGAGAGCTGGACAGGTTTATGCTTGATTTCAGTGTTTTTGTGCAGGTTTTAAGGTGAATTTGGTGAAAGAAGTGAAGAAGGAGAGATATGGAATCAGAAAAGACATCAAAAAGTGCAAAAGGAGAAGCCGAAGTCACCGCTCAGCGGCAGTTTACCGCTGAGCCGCACTCAGGAGCTCACGGGAGGACCGCTGAGGGGCAAAATGGTCGCTGAGGGGAAGAAACGTGACACGCACTTACCGCTGAGCGGCACTTTAATGGGCTTGGACCTAATTTTCTGTAATTTACGAATAATATATAAGCTTTAGGGTTTCCTAGGGTTTGTATCTTTGGCTGGAACGAAGCAAACACTCTCTCTTCCACCCCTTTGAAGGAGGATCTTGGATGCTGAGGCTTCCTCTTCACCTTTTTAGGGTTTTATCTTTCATTCTTTCATTGTAATTCATCTAGGTTCACCATGAATATGGTGAACTAAACTCTGTATGTTTGTTGGGGAATCAATGTAATCTTTTGAAGCTCTCATATATGGAATCTGTTTTTACATCTTTTAATTAAGACTTATGCTTTCTTTCATCATTAGTTAGGGTTTTTCCTCTTTGCGTAATGCTTGCATTGTTTAACTCATTTGATGCATGATTATTGGTTTTGTCGATACGGGCACGTACGGGGAAGTCTAGATCCGGGGAATTTCTCCCAATATTATATTGGTTGTCGTTAAGCTCCTGCACTTATGAACTGATCATTAGGAATGCTAGGAATTGTATGAACTCGTGATTAAGGAGAAGCCTTCTTGAAAGGTACTTTAGAGAGTGGCATTAACAATGATGATTTGAATGTTGAATTCCTAAAATATATGAGAGTGGATAAGATGAAATTGACCCCCAACAACATATTCATACATTTATTTCATTGAAAGTGTTTATCTTTGTTTTTGCCATTGATCAAAACTTCATGCATACATATTTAATTTTCGTCTTTTGCATATAAAATCCAAATATTTCGTCTTTAAGTCTTAGCTAATCAAGAAACCACACAACTAAACTAGGTCGTGAGTCCTTTGGGAAGAACGATACTTGGTCTTACCAAGTTTATTACTTGAACGATTCGGTCACACTTGCCGATTGAAAAACAAGTTTGTGACATCATATTTTGGTGTTCATAAATTTGTCCATCAGCCCTCTCCCTCAACTCTTCCATGGTTTTGGGGGCCCGTCGACAGACGCTGTCCTTAAACGGTCCTGGCTTGAGGGCGGGGAGGATGTAATGCAGAGAGAGTTTTAGGCTTAAGCCCTTCACTTGTCGCACGGTCTTCTGATAGCGGTCCATGAACGCTCTAAGCGTTTCTTCCTTGCCTTGCTTCAGGGTGACCAGCTCGAAAACTGTCAGGTCTTGAGTACTGTTAGCGGTAAACTGCTGGTTGAATAGGCGTTGTAAGCCGGCGAAATTCTCTATAGAATTGGAGGGAAGATAATTGAACCACTCGAGCGCCTTTCCTTCTAGTGACAATGAAAATGCGAGACACCAGATAGCGTCATTGCCTGTCCTGAACGCCATAGCGTTCGAGAAAGTCTTGATGTGGGCCTCGAGATCCGTTGTCCCGTCATACATCTTGAATTGTGACGCAACGAACTGTTCCGATATATGGACATCCATGGTCGCTTGGACAAAGGGGAGTAATAACGTGGACGAAGGCTCAGGCTTCACCACCATCCGTCTATCCTCCGCGGCACTTTCCGCGTGTATCGATTTGACTTTACTTCCTTCGGCCTCGGACTCCGCCGGCTTCCAGGTCTTATCGCGTCCGCTATTATGCTCGGTCTGATCCTCCGCAGCGACTTTTCGCTTTTCCTTCGCTCACTCTTCCTCGCCTTTCCTTCCAGCGATCTCTCGGGCTATCCGTGCCTCATACTCGGCCTTGATGGCCACAAGTTTGGCCACATGGCGCTGTTGCATCTCGTCCATCTTCTGTTGTAATGCTCTGATCATCTCTACTGGATCGTCCATGCTCATGTTTCTCGTGGTCACCATTGGGTTTGAATAGCAACTCGGTCCCACGGTGGGCGCCAAAATGTTTCGGTTGTAGGGGCTGAGTCGTCAAATACCTCCACACTTTACTCTTCCAGTCTCTCGGCCGTCCGGTCTTGCTTCCTACTCTTCGGTTCACTCCTCTGCGTGCCGGGGGGAGACTTGTCAAAGATTCTCCGATGCCAAAGTCAGTTTGAGAACAATGGTGTTTTCAATAGAATAGTAATAAATATGCAGTAAATGCAACCTATCTACCACTCACCTTTGACCTGTATTTATAGTTTTTGTTATGGGCTTGGGATTAGTGAAAAGTTAATCACGACCCAACTTCGGCCCAATAGCTTTTAACAGCTACTTACCTTAATCTTAATCCTAATCTGGTATGGTCAATTGGCAATATGGCCGATCGACCTTCTGATATTAGGCCTTACAACCGGCCGGCCCATATGAGTTGTTGTTCGTCTGGTTGACGAGTGGCAAGGTCACGTAATTGGGTGGTCATTGGCCATGCGGACGTCCGGTCCATACATTGCCCGGTCCCTCGGGATATACGTAGTCATAGACTACACGGACGTCCGGTCTTTGTGTCGCTCGGTCCCTACTGGTACAGATGCATTTTGAAGACAATTCTTTTGACATGTGGTTTCGATCTAATAAAATAATAGGGTAACAAAAATCTAAAACTTCATATGAGTACAAGGTTCGAGAGAACATTTTAACTAATAAAATGTGACAGACAGGAAACCAAAGGTTTGAGAGAACTTTGGGATAAGTTGATTAATAATAATATTAATTAAACTTATACAAAGCCAGATAAAGAACATACAATAGAAAAAAACATGAACATTAACCGGAGAAACATCTTATTGTTACAAAACATCACCGATTACCCCAACCCCATAATACAAGTGCAAAAAATGTTTGAAATATGTTCGAAAAGTAGAATTGGGATCAGGATAAGTTGCCACCACTTTGCTGCCACAAATTGATGATATCAGTGGCTTGATTAAGTAGAATAATCATCTGCTTTTGGGAGATCCAAGGCTTGCTCTCAAGCAACTCGTTGAGCTCTTCTCCATCCAAATGAACTTCAACACAAGTCTTGGCTTCTCTTTTGCCTTCACCACCACTCCAAGCTTCTATTAATCACCAAAAAAAAATTATATATAAATAAGAGATTTTTTTTCTAATTCTAAAAGAGGTGGATAAATGAGAGAAATTGAATTTGAATGTTTGGGAGCAAAAAGTGAGAAGAGAACCTCAGATTGGGGAATGGGAGGGGCTTCTTCTTGGGCAACGATGGTTTCCGCGACGGAAGCGAGAGTGAAGCGTGTGGTGGTTGGAAGAGGGTGGTGTGGGATTGGTGCAAGGTTTTTCGTCAAGGGCAATGAGGCGACGTTTGGACCCATTAATGAAAGTATAAAATCAAAGCCCCAATCCATTGCAACCATGGCAGATAGCGAACCCTAATCTCTTAATACGAAATTTTTTTTAATCTGAACCAAATAATATAACATAACAGGTCATATGACAAATTAAATAAAAAATTTCACGTAATATAAGATGTATACATATGTGTGCACCACGTCATCACAGTTAGACGACGTTAATGAAAACTTAACAGATATGACTTAATTGGTTCAGTTTTACAAGTTTATGGACCCGATTGAGATCCAAAAAAAAGCGATAACCCACTTGAGATCCAAAAAAAAGCGATAACCCACTTGAGATTGACACACAGATACGAGGACCAAATGAGGGTTTAAACCTATATTTTAAAATAAAGAACTTGTTTATAACAAAACTATTTATAACTAAACCATTTAATATTAAAATAACCCAGTCTCACTATTTTTAAACTACCATCACTTTTAAAATACCATTTTATAAAGTTTTACAAAAATAAAGTTTTACAAAAATAAATATACTTTTAAAATACCATTTTAATTTAAAAAAATAATTAAATTTAAAAAATTAAATTATAGAAAATCGATCAAATTTTAAAAATAAAACCACTTAAAATAAATATTTAAAGATAAAATCAAAAAATAAATATGTACACCAAAATCAACGTCTCTTTGTATAATTTTACATAAATAATAGCATTTCTTGGAACTATTTATGGATAAACCTCATAAACCCCCAAATCCGAAAATGAACCGCAGAAGCTAGCAATGGAACTCTCCATTACGCACACTCCCAATCCTCTTCACTGTTTCTCATCACCACAACTCTTTCCAAACCCCAACGTTTTCACGCTAAGCGCACCTCGTCCCCGCAGAAAGCTTCGGTTCCGAGTTTCGGCCACCGCGGAGCCCGATGGGGCGTCGTGGTCGCAGTCGCTGCGGCGTGGGTCTCAGCGGTTCTGGATCAACTTTGGGGAAATGGTGAAGAAAGAGACGGGTCTTGACTTCCAGAGCAGCAGCGTGAAGAACGTAGGCGAGGTTATGAGCGGAGATGAATTGCGAAGGTTTGGGACTCAGTGGGTGTCTCGGTTTGTCGATTGGAACCGGTGGGAACGCTGGAAGGTAATGCTTTCAATTGCCGCGCTGGAATTGTGTTGTTAATTTGATGCTTATGTTTTTTTTTAATTTTTATTTTTTTTATTTGTTATTAATTTCATGTTTCTTTTTTTGTATTTTTCGGGTTGTGACCTGTGAGTATTAGTGATTTGTGGATGTTAAATTAGTGATTTGTGGTTTTATTGGGGACGCATTTGGAGATAGGAATCAGAGTGAGTAAAAATGGAAAACTTTTGGTTATAACCAAAGAGAGTGTTGACTGTTGACTGAGCAGAAATTGATTTCCGCATTTGATGATGATAGCAAAACTACTGTGGGTACTGACGCAGCAGTGGACTTGGTTACTGGAAATAAGACTCGGCCCAAAAGGATTGCAGATAAACCAATTGTATACAGGGAATATATTTTCTGTTTTCATCATGACATTGCTGTTGGTTGTTGGCATTGGTTCTCATTACTTTTCCTGTTTTCTTTACCAGTTCTGTTATTCTGTTTCCACGTAATATGGCACACAATGGTTTGTACTGTAAGCCTAGCACAGAATGTAAGTCTCGGTATGACATGAGTAAAACAGGAAGGAATTCAGAGTTGTTTGTTTTTTTGCTGTTTTGGGAGGTTGCCTTTGTCCTCAAATTCAAGGCTTTTCAATGACGCCCTGATGTTTTATGATTTTATTTTCTGGTTTTCATTAATAATCGAAGAAAATATTGATTTTGGGACTCAGTGGGAGTCTCAATTTGTCTATTGAAATCGGTGAGGACATTGGAAGGTGACTTGTTCATTGCTGTATTGGGATTGTGTTGCTAATTTCATGGCTTTTTATGTTGTTAAATTTGTGTTTTTGCTTTTGTTAAGTTGGGAATGTTGCAGTGGTGTTTTATGATTTTACTTTCTGGTATTGGTGAACAAGCCTTTCAGAGTAAGAGTCAAAGTGAAGAAACAAAGATAACATAGACATTTTTAAATTGCATGGGAACATTGAAAACTTTTCTCGAACCAAACAATGTATCGAGTGTGGGTGAATATTGATTTCCATCTTGAATAGTCCATTTTGTTGGAAGTCCCACATCGACTAGAGATAAGACCAAATTGTAATATATAAGTGGGGTGCAAACCATACATACAAGCCGGTTTTGTGGGGTTGAGTTAGGCTTAAAGTCCACTTTCTAATATAGTATCAGAGCCATGGTTGGAGCCTTTCCTAACGAGATCTATGTGGGCATTCTGTTCCACCTGTTGTCGGGCCACTATTGGATCACCCATTAATTCTACTCTCACGCTCGAGATGTCTATACCTCGGCGTGAAGGGGTGTGTTGGAAGTCCCACATCGACTAGAGATAAGGTCAAATTATAATATATTAGTGGGATGCAAACCTCACCATACAAGTCGGTTTTGTGGGCTTGAGTTAGGCTTCAAGTTCACTTCTTAACACATTTTATTTTTTTTCTCATCATTAGTAGTTATAAAAAATTTTACTTTTGGCTGTTTTTGCTCAGTCCTTTGAAAATAGGATTCTGAAAATAATGTGACAATTTTGTAATTATAATTTAGAGTTAATAAAGTTTTCTACCTCATTTCCAAAAGATTTCAGTCTTATACCCGACATTTAATAAATGTGTCATTTCGGTCTCCACAATTATTCCAAAAACTCTTGTAACCAAATCATTTATAAGCAAAAGTGGAAAATGTTTCCTCAAACTAGATAGATTGAGGGGGAGCAATTTTTAATTTCCACATTCAACTACAACTTGAGAGTAGTGACTAGTCAAAATTTTGTGGCGATGCCTGCATTTTGGAGGCATTTCTTTTCCTTTACATAGCGTATGGAATAGGATAGAATTGTGCATATTTTTCGAATGTGTTGCTTTTGTTCTCTTATGCTGGTATTTAATATTGCTTTGTTCTTCAATATTGCATTTTGTTTAATAAATAGTGTTGGGTTAACTACTATTGCAGCATTAATGTATTTTTTTAATTAAATATGTTTTTAGTTCTTAAACTTGAATGCTAAATTATATTTGGTTTCTATCCCAAACTTTTATACTCTAACTTCGAAAATGAATAGATATAGTCCTCCTAGTCCAATTGGATTACATCTTTTTGACGTGTCAAATGATATTTCAAGTTGACATTTGAGTTATTTTTACCAGTCTCACTATTTTTAAACTACCATCACTTTTAAAATACCATTTTATAAAGTTTTACAAAAATAAAGTTTTACAAAAATAAATATACTTTTAAAATACCATTTTAATTTAAAAAAATAATTAAATTTAAAAAATTAAATTATAGAAAATCGATCAAATTTTAAAAATAAAACCACTTAAAATAAATATTTAAAGATAAAATCAAAAAATAAATATGTACACCAAAATCAACGTCTCTTTGTATAATTTTACATAAATAATAGCATTTCTTGGAACTATTTATGGATAAACCTCATAAACCCCCAAATCCGAAAATGAACCGCAGAAGCTAGCAATGGAACTCTCCATTACGCACACTCCCAATCCTCTTCACTGTTTCTCATCACCACAACTCTTTCCAAACCCCAACGTTTTCACGCTAAGCGCACCTCGTCCCCGCAGAAAGCTTCGGTTCCGAGTTTCGGCCACCGCGGAGCCCGATGGGGCGTCGTGGTCGCAGTCGCTGCGGCGTGGGTCTCAGCGGTTCTGGATCAACTTTGGGGAAATGGTGAAGAAAGAGACGGGTCTTGACTTCCAGAGCAGCAGCGTGAAGAACGTAGGCGAGGTTATGAGCGGAGATGAATTGCGAAGGTTTGGGACTCAGTGGGTGTCTCGGTTTGTCGATTGGAACCGGTGGGAACGCTGGAAGGTAATGCTTTCAATTGCCGCGCTGGAATTGTGTTGTTAATTTGATGCTTATGTTTTTTTTTAATTTTTATTTTTTTTATTTGTTATTAATTTCATGTTTCTTTTTTTGTATTTTTCGGGTTGTGACCTGTGAGTATTAGTGATTTGTGGATGTTAAATTAGTGATTTGTGGTTTTATTGGGGACGCATTTGGAGATAGGAATCAGAGTGAGTAAAAATGGAAAACTTTTGGTTATAACCAAAGAGAGTGTTGACTGTTGACTGAGCAGAAATTGATTTCCGCATTTGATGATGATAGCAAAACTACTGTGGGTACTGACGCAGCAGTGGACTTGGTTACTGGAAATAAGACTCGGCCCAAAAGGATTGCAGATAAACCAATTGTATACAGGGAATATATTTTCTGTTTTCATCATGACATTGCTGTTGGTTGTTGGCATTGGTTCTCATTACTTTTCCTGTTTTCTTTACCAGTTCTGTTATTCTGTTTCCACGTAATATGGCACACAATGGTTTGTACTGTAAGCCTAGCACAGTATGTAAGTCTCGGTATGACATGAGTAAAACAGGAAGGAATTCAGAGTTGTTTGTTTTTTTGCTGTTTTGGGAGGTTGCCTTTGTCCTCAAATTCAAGGCTTTTCAATGACGCCCTGATGTTTTATGATTTTATTTTCTGGTTTTCATTAATAATCGAAGAAAATATTGATTTTGGGACTCAGTGGGAGTCTCAATTTGTCTATTGAAATCGGTGAGGACATTGGAAGGTGACTTGTTCATTGCTGTATTGGGATTGTGTTGCTAATTTCATGGCTTTTTATGTTGTTAAATTTGTGTTTTTCCTTTTGTTAAGTTGGGAATGTTGCAGTGGTGTTTTATGATTTTACTTTCTGGTATTGGTGAACAAGCCTTTCAGAGTAAGAGTCAAAGTGAAGAAACAAAGATAACATAGACATTTTTAAATTGCATGGGAACATTGAAAACTTTTCTCGAACCAAACAATGTATCGAGTGTGGGTGAATATTGATTTCCATCTTGAATAGTCCATTTTGTTGGAAGTCCCACATCGACTAGAGATAAGACCAAATTGTAATATATAAGTGGGGTGCAAACCATACATACAAGCCGGTTTTGTGGGGTTGAGTTAGGCTTAAAGTCCACTTTCTAATATAGTATCAGAGCCATGGTTGGAGCCTTTCCTAACGAGATCTATGTGGGTATTCTGTTCCACCTATTGTCGGGCCACTATTGGATCACCCATTAATTCTACTCTCACGCTCGAGATGTCTATACCTCGGCGTGAAGGGGTGTGTTGGAAGTCCCACATCGACTAGAGATAAGGTCAAATTATAATATATTAGTGGGATGCAAACCTCACCATACAAGTCGGTTTTGTGGGCTTGAGTTAGGCTTCAAGTTCACTTCTTAACACATTTTATTTTTTTTCTCATCATTAGTAGTTATAAAAAATTTTACTTTTGGCTGTTTTTGCTCAGTCATTTGAAAATAGGATTCTGAAAATAATGTGACAATTTTGTAATTATAATTTAGAGTTAATAAAGTTTTCTACCTCATTTCCAAAAGATTTCAGTCTTATACCCGACATTTAATAAATGTGTCATTTCGGTCTCCACAATTATTCCAAAAACTCTTGTAACCAAATCATTTATAAGCAAAAGTGGAAAATGTTTCCTCAAACTAGATAGATTGAGGGGGAGCAATTTTTAATTTCCACATTCAACTACAACTTGAGAGTAGTGACTAGTCAAAATTTTGTGGCGATGCCTGCATTTTGGAGGCATTTCTTTTCCTTTACATAGCGTATGGAATAGGATAGAATTGTGCATATTTTTCGAATGTGTTGCTTTTGTTCTCTTATGCTGGTATTTAATATTGCTTTGTTCTTCAATATTGCATTTTGTTTAATAAATAGTGTTGGGTTAACTACTATTGCAGCATTAATGTATTTTTTTAATTAAATATGTTTTTAGTTCTTAAACTTGAATGCTAAATTATATTTGGTTTCTATCCCAAACTTTTATACTCTAACTTCGAAAATGAATAGATATAGTCCTCCTAGTCCAATTGGATTACATCTTTTTGACGTGTCAAATGATATTTCAAGTTGACATTTGAGTTATTTTTACCATTTGACATGTTTTAGCTTAAATGTCAGTTTAAAACATTGTTTAATATCAAATGATATTTCAAGTTGACATTTGAGTTATTTTTACCATTTGACATGTTTTAGCTTAAATGTCAGTTTAAAACATTGTTTAATACATAAAAAGTTATAGCCATTGGGTTAAAAGAACTATAAATTTCAATTTTGCGTCTAATTTTAGGAACTCAAAACATATTTAACTTTTTTTTTTCCTGGGACATTTTTTACCTAGCTAAGCATTTTGATTGAAAAATATATACTATCAACACTTTTGGACCAGGCTGGTAAAAATGACTGCTTAATCCATAAAAGGGGTTTTACTTATATTTGTTATTATTCTGTATTGCTTTCTTTTTAATATAAATTAACTAAAACAATGTTGTTTTCTTGTTACAGAAAATCAAAGACTGGGAACCTTTGCGAATTGGCACATTTGTTCTTTATATTTTTGTTGTCACATTTGCTTGTAGAGGAGTATATGTTGCTGTTCAAACACCTTTCATAAATCGGCAGAAAAAAGAATTAGCAGAAGCTTACATGGAAGTGTTAATTCCTGAACCATCCCCTACTAACATCAGAAGGTAAGTCAATCCTCCTTTATTATCACATTCTTTTGGTACACATGCTCTTGTTTAATATACTTTTGGTTTATCTAATTCTTATTGTCATAGAAGTATAATTGCTGACTTCTCAAATTTTATTTGTTGTGAACATATATTATTTCTTTCACCAGTTTCACGCTAATATAATATTTTTAATCAATCAAATGAATAGTTCTTACCTGCTATAATGTTGACTTTAAATCACTAAAACTAGACAATGATGACAGTTAAGCTCATTATTCACTGCATACTGAACTAAGAGCTCGCTATGCAATTTTGTATCATTGATCAAATCACATGTTTTTCTTTCTTTCCTATTTTTACCTTTTCTTTCACCTGTCATGAAAAATCCAAACTCATATAAGCTTAATTGTTAATGAAAAAATTGGCTTCATGAGACTTATAGTTGATGTTTTTTTATTATCTTGTAGTTTAAATTATGATATTAAATTCTATGTAACATCTACATGATATATTTGAAGTTATTTTTCATTGTCTTTGAATTTTGATTTGACAACCTTGTTATGGAGTGATCTATTCACATAAAATAATCTACAGCACAATTGTAGTGATTGCATCGGCTGTAATGTTGTATATTTTATTTGAAATTAAAATTTGACGGTGCAAAATTGGATGACTCTAAAACTACATCATTTGTTACCAACATTGTGATCTGCAATGCTGCAATCGCATAATCTTAAACATTTACTTTCGATGATTAGATGAGTCAGCCTTTTTTGAGGACATCCAATGCCAACAAGTTCATCAACATGGAATTGTGTGTCCCAATATTCGTGTATTGTTTGTTATTTCAAGAGAAGCTTCTTGGAGATCAATGCGAAGCTACACCACCTCGCAACAGCCTTGGTCTGAGTGAAGAAGTGGTTGTGTATCGTTCCCATACTTGATACAAATGAACAATAATGAGAACGCGTGGCAAAATTGGACTTGGAGAGAGTCGATTATTGCCAAGAGTAAGATCTAATGCTTGGAACTTCCCATTCACTTCATAGCGGGATTATAAACTCTGTTGCAAGTGCGATAATCATCAGTACGAATCTTTGGAGGAATTTCCTGGATTAACAACAAAGGATGAGGTTATTAGAATATAATCACCGTTACTACAGATTTATATTATAGGAATTAACCTTTAGATAATCTAGGAAATCCAAGATGAATTGATTCCTATATAAGTGTTTTTCTATAATTAATTTTATAAAATAGTATAAATACATATTGTGTGGTCTGTATTAAACACACAGTACATTCAAAACATATACAATTCTATATGATATCAATAGTTTAAGGTTTCAATCTTGAAAAGACAAACTGTGAGAAAGATTGGGAAGCATGAGACGCATTTTTTGGTTTTAGGACTATGATTGAATAAAGCGTTTGATGCTCAGAGCTTGAGACACAATGGAACATAGAAGCAAGCAACCGCTTGTGACGATAGTTACATCCTCAGCATCATCTTCTGCTCCACCCTTCCAACCTCCCCTTACGCACCACGACCACCTGCACCTGAACTTCCTATTGTGATACGAAAAGGTATTCGTTCTTCTCGTAATCGTAACTCTCTGCTTTTACCATTACTTATGATCGTTTGTCTCCATCCTATTTCTCCTTTGTTTCTTCTTTGGATTCTATGTCTATTCCTAAGACTATAGGTGAAGCCATGGCTTATCCTGGCTAACATCAGGCAATGGTAGAGGAGATGGCAACCTTACCTTCCTTCCAATGGCACTTGGGAACTTGTTCATTTACCTCCTGACAAAAAAACGGTTGACTGTCGTTGGGTTTTTATACAATGAAAATTGGACATGATGGTCATATTGATTGGTTAAAACCTCGCTTAGTCGCTAAAGTTATACACAGATTTTGGTCTAGATTAATGGGGACCACATTTTTCCCCTGTGGCCAAAATAACTTCTTTCGTCTCTTCTGGCGAGGTTGCCTATTCATCATTGGCATCTTCATTCAAATACATATTATGCAATCTTACATGGTGAATTGGCGGAAGAAGTTGGTTGAATCCAATCCCCTGGTTTTTCCTTGCTTCGACGATTCTCGTCTTGTTGTAAGCTTCAACGGTCTCTCTATGGTTTTGAAGCTGTTTAGATTATTTCTTTATGTTTTATTTATTTATCTTTTATCTTTAGTTAGTTTGTTTATTATTTGCTTATTTGGTATTTTGGGCTGACCCATATTTCTTCTATTATAAATAGAGGACCCCTATGTGTATATTCAACATAAGGTAGATTAATCCCATATATAGTTTTTCCATATAATTCAACATGGTATCTAGAGCTTCGTTCTTTAAAGGAAAAAGTTTCTGGTGCCTTTGTCACTGCTCTGCCGCTGCCGACAGTGGCGCTATCTACTACTGGCGGCGACGCCGTCATCTACCGCTACCACTATCGGAGTTTAAGTTTTGATCAACGATCACATGGTGCTGAAGCATAATATTGTGCTATGACAGTAGCCACTTGTGAGCTTATGTGGCTTAGGCAACTACTATTACAACTAAAAATAGGGGATATCCCATGAAACAAACTTATTTGTGACAATCAAGCTACACTTCACATTACATCAAACCCGATCTTCCATAAAAGAACCAAACACATTGAAATTGATTCTCTTTGTTAGAGAAAATGTGCCCTCTTGAGAAATCACTAATGATTTTGTCAAGTCTAACAATTAGTTGGCTGACATATTCACCATCTCTTAGAGAGCCTCAGATAGAGTACATTTGTAACAAGCTTGGTACATATGACATATATGCTCCGACTTGTGGGGAAGTGTTAGAATATAATAAGGTATTATGGATTTGTAGGAAATTAACGGTGACATAATCTAGGAAATTAGGATGATTGATTCCTTATTATTAGGTGTTTTCATTATAATTAATTATGTAAAATAGTATAAATACATAATGTGTGGTCTGCATTAGACACACAATACATTAAAAACATATACAATTCTATAAAGGTGATGAGACTTAATGTTAGGTTCCTTTAATTCATTGGACCCTAAACAATAGTCACTCTTCCTCACTCAGACACTCAACAACAAAGATATAATGGCTTATAAGTAATTTTATTCAATCTGTAGTGGTGAAGAAAGAAGAAAATAGAATAAATGTTCCCAACGGAAGCCTCCCTTCCTCCACTGCCCAAGAGGTCCAGTCTAAACCCTACACTCCTCTCCCCTCCTCAACCATTCGGTGATTATATTACTCTGTTAGAATGTTAAATGTGTGTTTTCTGTTATTTGGGCTTAGTCTATTCCTGTTTAAGGGCATGGCCATATCTTAACAATATACATAAACTACTACCCTATGTGTATGCTAAACACAAGGGATATTTCCCCATCTTCTCTATTTCTCATATTGTCCTTAAGCACAGGAATAGTTCCAAGTCAACTCCACGGTCTCCGGCACCCATCACTGCCGCTGTCGTCGTAGTCGCCGCCGATGCCGTCGCCGCTGCCGCCGTCGCCATCGCCGCCGCCATCGCCGGAGTTCCAGAATCGACCAGCGACCACACCATCGGAATCGTCTCGGCCGGGCAACCACCGTGGTACGAAGATCGCGGCGAACGGACCACCCACGCGCCTCCACGCGCCGCCGCAAGATTCGCCGCTGCCGCTGCGCGTGCCGGCGCGTCGCCGAGCTTTCCGCCTTCCTGATCACCGCAATCTACCTTTACTCCTCCTCCCTCTCCCTCTTTCTGGATTTTGGTCGTTGCGTCAATCGAGCACTTTGATTTTTTCGTTTTCTCCTCTCCCTCTTTATGGCGTCTTCCGCGTTACAACACCTCTATTGGTGGCTCATCTTCATCCCTCAATATATACCAATTATTGAATGTACACTTGTCATTGACCAGTTTTAGATGTCACAAAATTAAAGCAACATTGGGGGCGTCCGACATCAAACTTTGGTTGAAGAGTCAGGGTTACTTAGATCATCTTCCTCAAATGTGCTACTCTGCTCCCATAGATACACTTCCCGTTGGATGAAATTGAGACACTCCTCATTGAAACAAATGTTTCGATCCTATGACACTTTCAGAAGTATGGGCACAAGCGAAGTTTGTTAATACACAAATGACACTCAGCGTCTTTATGGTGTTTTGTCAGGACCTATTCACTGTATTGTTCCGCGCAAATCCTGGCCCCATGCCAGAAATATTTGGGTAAAATTCATGCCCTTCTTCATGACTTAATGATATATTACCTCCTGCTTCCACTCCCTGCTGAAGATTGGGAACAACGACAAAGTTCTTCATGTTTGTTGGCATTATACGGACTCTCTATGATGTTTCTCATGCCGTGATCAATTTTTGGGTTCTCCTGTCATACATAAACCCAACTTTCTTTACTGTGTTCTTCTCTTTTGCGTAACCGATCAACCCGTCATGAGACATCCCCTCATACTGATGCATTCTTCTGTTATGGCTGGCTGCTCAACGTGATGATCGAAGTCGGTCTCTGCAAGCCAAGTAAAGACGTCCAAAATGTGACCATTGTAGCAAGTTAGGCCACAAGATTGTTATGCTCTCTCATGGCCGTCCTCCTCGACCTTAGCAATGGCAAATTCTGATCCACCTCCTCGATCACCGTCTGCAGACCATCCTAACTACTCATCTAATACCGAGACAAACTGCAATCTTTAACGAATTTCTCAGATGGTATGAGGATCATCAGCACTCTGATTCCACTACATCTACCTCTGTTGCACGTACATTTAACAACCTTTTGTTGGTCTACTCACTCCCTCGACCTGGTCCTGACTCAAGCGCCACCGATCATATCACTGGTAACAAAGTCCTTGTTTTTCTTCCTTGTCCATGTCCGAATAATTTACCCCATGTAACATGGCTGAGGTCTAATTCGCATCTCATGGTAACCAATTTGGTACTGTTAATATTTTCCATCCATATCCATTGTCATGTACTTTATGTCCCTGGGTCTCCCTTCAACTTTTGTCCATTAGTCGTTTA